ACCCAGCCATTTTCTGATTTTTAGTTCCCTCCAGTAATTACTCCACACTGGGCCCAAAGAGTTGTGGAGACTGGAGTTAAATCCAGTTGGTGGTTGGTCACAAGTGGTGTTCTCCAGAGCTCAGTTTTGGGGCCAGCTCTGTTTAATACCTTTATCAATGGTCTGGATGAGGGGATTGAGTGCACCCTCAGTAAATTTGCAGATAACATCAACCTGGGCGGGAGTGTTGGTCTACTTGAGGGTAGGAAGGATCTGCAAAGAGATCTGGACAGGCTGGATCGATGGTCCGAAGCCAATTGTATGAGGTTTAACAAGGCCAAGTGCTGGGTCCTGCACTTGGGTCACAACACCCCCATGCAACACTACAGGCTTGGGGAAGAGTGGCTGGAAAGTTGCCTGGAAAAAAAGGACCTGGGGGTACTGGTCAACAGACAGCTGAACATGAACCAGCAGTGTGCTCAGGCGGCCAAGAAGGCCAACAGCATCTTGGCTTGTATAAGAAATCGTGTGGCCAGCAGGACTAGGGCAATGATTGTACCCCTGTACTCGTCACTGGTGAGGTGGCATCTTGAGTACTGTGTTCAGTTTTGGGCCCTTCACTACAAGAAGGACATTAAGGTGCTGGAGTGTGTACAAAGAAGGGCAATGAAGCTGGTGAAGGGCCTGGAGAACAAGTCTTATGAGGAGCGGCTGAAAAAACTGGGATTGTTTAGTGTGGAGAAGAAGAGGCTGAAGGAAGACCTTATTGCTTATATGATCGTAATATTTTTTTCCAACCAAACTATTCTATGATTCTATGAATTTAATTCAAGGTAGTTTGTTTTTCAGTTAACATCTTCCAGACCCAATAGTTGCTTTTGTAACAAGTGTTTAGGATAAAATGTGTACATAAAATCACACAAAAAAATAATGTTCACCTGTAGATAATCTAATCATATTTGAAATGTTAAATATTTTCTTTGTATTGAAACAATGGAAAGCTGGATTGACATAATGCTTTTCATTATTTTTATCTTCTATACACTTGAATATAATCAAGTAGTCCCTCCTATTTTCTTAGAAACACCGAAGCAAACTTCCTATTAGGGTGGTACTAGATTTTACAAGTTAATAATGCATTGATTTAACTTCAAAATACAGATTTAAATTATTATTTTTTCCGTTAAAAGACAAAGAATTTATTATTACGACAGTACCTACAAGAACCCAGTTAAATTGGCACACATAATTGTATGACTGATAAACAAGAAGGAACAGTCCTAGTCATAAGGAACTTATTTTCTAAATAAGCAAAATATGTACAGCATGTGACTATGTAGCATGTGTGGGGTTTGATCTTGCAGTTTTAAAAATGATAAATCTGTAACTGTTTTATTTTTGCAGATATCCAAATTAAGTCATTTAAAATGTGGTTGAGCATGCAATGCAGAAGCTGTTTTCTGAAAGTTATAGAGCTTATTAGGGTCACTCAGTGTGGGTGTTTGAAGGTCACAGTCACTTTGTGAATATCAATCCAAACTGATTAAGCAACAGTTATATATGAAGCTTGTTAACTGGGAATTAAATGCGGGTTTCCTGACTATTGGCCTTTGTAATCCCCAAATCTCATTTAACTGTACTGGCAACTGCAAGGTATAACTAAATAGGTTATTAGTGTGCTACTTAGACGACTGAAGGTCTCTGGTCTTCCGCTTAATGAATCATGACACACCTAAGGCATAAACCAATGTGCAGATTTGCTCGCAGCTGATGCAGCTTATTGCTAGACTAAATGCCAGGCTTAGGGATGTAGCATATACAAGGCTTGATAATGGCGGTGAGTTAGCTCTGTTCTTTACTGCATAGCTCTGCATGTAGTCTTCTCCTTCAGGTTGTTTCAGGGCTTTTATGGCTTCCTTAAAATTATGTTGCAGTTCCCTGGAGTACAAAAGGAGAGATTAATACTAAAATAGAAATATGCTTAGGTGACCTAAACCTAATTTTTTACCATATTTAATAATAATTCCATAATGCATACTGCAAAACATCAAAGCAAAAATCCACTCTTGTATTCAAAAGTGTTTATTTAAAAACTGATTTAGGTGAACTGAAACTATTGATATTATCATTATATATACTGACACAAGGATAAAACTACATATTACCATAACTAATGTAAATACAAATGACATTTTCTCTTGGCTATTGTACCTCTTAAACAAAATCAACATTTCTAACAATTCAGGTAAATTAGAAGAAAAAGGTTATTTTGGATCTATCTTAGTAGTTTTAGTTATTTAATCTTTATAATTTGTTACATATAATATCAATTGGTTTATTTATTTGTTAAATCACATATGAAATTGATATTGCCATTTCATCTCTTTAGCATGAGTTCAGTGTACCAGTATGGAGCCTTACTAGTGACCTCAATGTACAGTATGTATGTCCCTAAAGCCTTTCGATTGTATTATTTCTTCTTTAAGAAGCATAATATCAGGTTTCTAGATGTTCATCCAGTCACTAATTATTGATTTAATCTCTGCTTTTGTGATAAATGTAGGGGGAAAAAAGACCCATCATGATTTAATAAGAAATGAATAAGCTTTAAAACCGTTTGCACTTGATTTAGGTATGGGTGAAATTTGTTATGGGTTTGTGTTCGTCCCTATAGTTCCTGCAATGCAACTAAAGCTTTGTTCATTTAGAGGTTAAGATTTGTTGTTGTTCATAGCTGTTGGAAAGGCTAGAAATTAATTATCTCAGAAAGCCACCTAAATGATAAAATATTTAACCTTTAGAAATACTCCATATTTTTGTTGTCTTCAACCAAGTGTGAGATGTAAAAGGAATACTATATAAAACATTGCATCTTGATTTTTATTGCACCTTACTAAGTCTCATATTTTTCACTTATTAGCATGTATTTAACTTTCAAAATGAAGTGTGTTAAGATGGACAGTAATGTGGAAATGTATTTACACTTGAGTAAAGGAAATGACTAGTTGTTTACTTATATGGCAATAAAGACTGGCAGTAAGTGTTAAAAATAATTAAAAAGTTATCTCAATAGCAATCATGGCTTAAATGTGTATTTGTATTTTCAGCAAGCTAATTTGTCTTTCACTTTAAAATATCATTTATAAAAAGTAAAAACATAAGTACAGTGTAGTTGTCCCTATGACAAATTGATGTTTTCTGCTGTATAATTTACAGCTTGGTTTGTATTACACATATACCAGAATGTTTTGAAATTTCACAAAAGCCACTTTAAAGGTCAAAATCTTATATTGTCAGACTGCTTATGTAAATATTGTCCAAAGTAAAAGGACCCAAACTAGTGGCTTCTGAATTCAATATATAAAACACGAACCAGGGAGATGCCAGAGGCAAAGTGAGAGAGTTATGCTGATGCTGCAGCAATATAGAGTCACAAGGCATACATTAGTAGATAAATCATTAGATGTGTGCCTGGTAACTACTGAAAAAAGCAGAAAAAAATATTGCCTAGTATACTTGTCAAAAAGCTCCAGCTTTGTTTTTAGACATACATGGCTCCAAAGGAAAATAAAAAGAATTGCAGAAAGTCCATCTATAAAGTCATCTTATGCTTTAACCAATTCCAAATACTATCATAATATCTGTAGATGTACAATACAGTTTTCTGCATGTACAGTCTCTGAATGACTGGTTTATTCTAATGAAATGATTCCAATATTAAATCGTACCTTACAATTACTAGACTCATATTGTTTTTAAAAAATCCTCCATGAAAAGAAGGGCTTTCAGGAATGGCAGTCCTACATTATACAAGTTATGGAGGCCACTTTTGAGACTACCTAAAGAAGCTCAAACTTATATAGCATTTAGTTGGCGTATCAAAATACTGTAAGTAAAGATTGTAAACCTTAGACATATGAATGCATATAATCACATATTCTTAAGATTAAAAATAAACACGAAATCAGAAGAGATTAATTGAATGTGGAATGACACTTTTCAACATACTGCTATTTTTATAGTCATAGCAAAGCTTGCTGTTTTCTAGGAGTATTGTTAACTCAGCAAATGCTGTCCAGATGCTACCATATAGTATTAATCTTTTCTGGGAGAATGATTCACAACCCATGATGTCCCACAGATGGGTGTAATATTCATATCACTGGTTCCATATTTTGTGTGTCAGCAATGTTTTTCTACCAAAACTGTATTTGAACAAGGGGAGCTTTGAGTTAGTTTCTCCCAGTTCTTTTGGCTGTCACTGCAGTTTAGTATTACCTTTCAAGCTGAAAGAAACTTTAAGGATTAAAATTAAAAAAAAAAAATACATCTCTAGCACTGGCTGATCCAATAAACTCCAGCCCTAACAGTTCTTGTTACGTGTATAAACCTCAAGTATACTGTTTTTCACTTTATAGGAAAATGAGGTCTTATATAGAGATACTTTTAATCCATGAACTAAGACAGCCTTATTTCACACATTACTTAACGGTGTCCTCTGATCTATGATTTTTTAAATGTTTTTTTCAGCAGAGATTGTCCATATACTTTAATCCAGTCACTTCCAAAACCATAGTTGTTAAATTCTATTCAGTTACTTTGTGAACATGCTTTTATGACTTGGACAATTAAGAGTTCAGGAAAAGGTCCTTTTCTTTATTTCATGGCTGTAAGATTGTAATAGTCAGACTGAACCAGTCCTAAAATTTATGGTTAGCAGACAACATAGGATATAGAATTAGAGATGAAGATGTTAAACCAGAATGGTTTTGGAAATAGATTCTTTAATGTCTAAAAAGCTTACGGTTTAAAAGCTGTTTAAGAACCTGATGGGTTTCAATCTAACTGCATAAATCGCCTGCTATTTCCTTGGGTCTTTGCTATATAAATTAATGAGTACTTCTACCACTAGGAAAAATATGAGGAAACTTTAGCATTGCTAAAACCAGTTTTTCTGTGTTCTAGTTCTTGTCCTGCTGATTGTCACCATGAGGCGACGGAAAAAAGAGCCCCTCATTTTTGATGAAGAGAGAGATATCAGAGAGAATATTGTGAGATATGATGATGAGGGTGGTGGAGAAGAAGACACTGAGGCTTTTGACATGGCTGCCTTGAGAAACCTCAACATTATCCGAGACACCAAAACCAGAAGGGATGTGACGCCTGAGATCCAGTTCTTGAGCAGACCAACTTTTAAAAGCATCCCAGATAATGTAATTTTTCGGGAATTTATCTGGGAAAGACTAAAAGAAGCTGATGTGGACCCCTGTGCGCCACCCTATGACTCCCTGCAGACATACGCATTTGAGGGGAATGGTTCGGTGGCAGAGTCACTCAGTTCTTTAGATTCGATCAGCTCAAACTCTGACCAGAACTACGATTACCTCAGTGACTGGGGCCCTCGCTTTAAAAGGCTTGCAGATATGTATGGGACTGGACCAGACTGCTTATACTCATAGCCTTGGAACCTTTCTCTGAAAATGCACTGAAGAATACTAAAACAGAAAACTCAACCTTACAGACTGAAGAAAGTTGTAAATATTTTTCCATTTTTAACCTTTTAGGTTTTTTTGCCTTGGTGGAACATATATTCATTAGACTTGTCCTAGGAACTGCACTGACTACACAGAATATGAGCATTTGGTGGCATTTTTGATAAAATTATATGCTCAGCCACTTTCAAATAGATAGCAACCCTCAGATACCTGCAGAGGCAACTCACTTTCAAGAGTATGTTGCGCACTGTGACCTCAATGAGACAATGATACTCTGTAATGCCTTTGCAGTATTGCTATATCTAGAATACAGAGTCTCTGGTATGAGATAAGTCTAAGAAACAAATTTACAAATATATCACTCAATACAACATTGCATTATATAGTATTTACAGATGCAAGGTGTTTTTAACAAATTTTCTTTACAGTGTTGCATGCAGCTTGCTAGGACAAAAGCAGAAGGACAGACCTGAAAACAAACAAAAGCCCAGCAGATTTTTTTTTTTTTTCTCCTCCCTGTTTGTTCTCAGAGCTCTTTAATTACAAGTGTCTGTAGTTTTCTGGGTAGTTTTATGAAAAATAACTGTTAGTACTAAGAAATTTCACAATGTTTGTCATCAACTTACTGAGGTACTTTACAAACCACATAAAATGAGAAATATGGAGGGGTATTGCTATGGTTGAAAAGTTTAGTGATGCCCATGTAGGTATAGAAAAGATGTTGCTATCTATTTGCTATTTTTAATTATATCTTCTGATTTGTACAGGAGAATTTATCCTTTTTTATTATTATTTTACATAAAATGTTATATTTATTTTGGAGCACCAATCTCCACTAAATTCAGGTCCATTTTACTGCCTCATAGTACTAGACTTAGTAGACATACTGATTTTTCTCCAGTCTCAGATAAATGTAGGAAATGAAACATGGAAATGGAGAAATTACAGTAAAATGTCCTTGCCCGCCGTTCATCACTCAGAAAGAAGAGCAGCTACGAGGACATGCAGTTGTTCTTCTGAGCCATTACAAAGTCTGAGACATTTCAGTAAAATATTTGTACATCGAATTTTTGGAAAGAAGACTACAGAGGTAGCTGTGAGTGTCTCTAATGCAAGATTTAATTTTCAAGGTTAAACATGTTATATGCTTCAAAGACTATAAACACCTTGCTTTCCTCCTTCCCTCACTCTTTTGTTGTTGCTGAATCACAGTAAAAGACTCTTTTCAATTTCTTTCCTACTAGGTTAAGCAATGTAATGCTATTAACTCCAGAAATCATCTTTAGATCCTGCTGCACATAAATATTTTTCCCCAAAGGCAAATACTCACTACACATAATTTCTATGCTGGTTCAGGAGTGCTGAAACAGAAGGACAACTGCTGTTGGTTAAAATACTGTACGATTTTGAAATAGGATTTCTTAGAATAAGACAACTTTTTTATAATTCTGACAGTATTTATACTTCATCTTTCGTGATTTATTACTAGATAATAAGGCATATATTCAAGTAAAATAATGTCTTTAAGTATTATTTCAAATTGTTTTGTTTTAGATAATCTATAGATTAATTTCTAAGTTAGACACTGCTCCTGCAAACTTTTTTGCTTGTACCTAACTTGCAATGACTTGACTTGCCTGCAATTACTGAGTGGCATAAAAAATTGTTTGCAGCGCTGTCTTTGTGAATAGAAGGTACTCCATAGAGGGTGATGCTTACTCTAAAAGTACTTCTTTCTGAAAGAAGGATCCTTGTACTGAAATCCCAATGTATGGATGACACCAGGCTGGGAGATAGGAAATTATTATTAAGGCTTTGTAATTTTTGCAGCCCAGAATTATCAGTTAACTGCGTGAAAGTGGCCTTCAGCTCCATCAGAGAAAACAAAATTTTAATCATCTGTAACATATTTAATTTGAATTACATTTTGGTAGACAATCATCATTTCATAATTCAGTAGATTTGCTTCTAGTTGTATAAAATATATATATACACACACACATATATATATATATATATATATATATGACAGATTTTGTAATGGAACTGAAAGATATTGCCCATGACTTTTAGTCATACATGTAAGATTTTCAATAAAAAATTACCCCCCAAAAATTAACCATGTGTATGCAGTTTAATGAAAGTGCGATATGCTGCAGGAGTTAAGCAAGTATTAAATCAGCAAGGTTCTGAGAGAACAGTTTTTCAATAATCATGTTGTTTGTGGGAAGATAATTCATGTTTCTGGATTAAGATATCAAAAATGCTGATTTTAACATTTGAAATTCAAAGAAGATTTAAATGTGATTTAGAGTAAACAGCACAATTCCCTTGTTTTTCCATTTCTATATCTGTATATAAAAAAACCAAAAAGCTCCTGTGTTATGAAACTCTGTTAGAGAGTGGAGTTTTGTGTGTTTTCTATGGAAAGATATATGTTTTTCTCTAATGACATAAAAACTCCTGCATATATATGTTTTCTGTTGCACAGTTCTAAAATAATTGAGTAAATTTGTTGTTACATTATATAAGCTTACCTATTGGTTATATTATCGCAGTAAGAAAGAAAGGTGGAAAGCTGTTAGGTTTGGTGACAGATGTTACTGTAGTATATACATATGGTCTGCATAATACTCATACTATACAATGCTCTCCACAAATTGCCATGACTATAGGTATTCACAGTTTATAATCTGGTTCAAATTCTTTCTTTGACTGTTATTTATATTGCATAGCCTATTGTCATAAAGTATATTCTACTAAGTAGTGTGAAATTTGAGAAATATTTTCTCTGCTCTGGAAAGCTGAAATTATTTGAGCAAAATGATTAGAAAGGCCTTTTAAAAATATTTCCGATGCTATTTATTTATTTAAATGAAAAGTTCCAGTATCTAACTTGAGGCCACAAGCCCTCCTTAAAAAATATGTCAAACATTGCAACCACTCCCATCTTACAGTGAAATGCCAGCACCTCTTTCCTTCCACCATACGACAATTGAATATGCTTATTTTAAACTGAGATTTCCAAACACCTTGAAAAGTGTATGATTTTAAGAGTGCCACTAAAATAATCCATGTAAAGTTAACCCAGTTGAAAAGATTTAAGTCAAAACTTCTTTCTCTCCTTTGGCCAGTGTAAAATCTACTGAATTCAATAGAGTTAAACTGGACATTCTCACTTACATTTTTATTCAAATGAATAAATTTAGTGTATTTATTAAGTTATATCCTCACTGAGACATAGCACAGACCTTCCTACTAATTTCAATGGCAGGGTTAATATGATTACTTCAGGACTCATGAAATTTGATGATACCGACTGAAACCTCTCCTTCTCCCCAAGAATTAAGACAGGAAAAAAATGTCTTTCTTTTTACTTGTTGTTTTCTTTGTTGTTTTGAAAGGGGAATTTCCCTTTAAAGTTAAGGTCTTTTCTCAGTTATTTTATCCTATTTACCCTTTAGGTGTTGGCACTCATCAATAACAAAATATTTCCTATCCTTTTTTCTTTTTATAGATTTTTAGATGAAAGCATATTATGAAATATAAAACGGCGGCATCCTATTTCTATGGACAAGTAATCTTGAATGATATAAAGAAAAGTAGTAGCTTGTCATGGTGAAAAATAAATAAATATACTATAAATCGTACAATTACATTGACTTTTAAGATCATTAAGAAGTTGAAAGGTGAACACAATTACCTATATCAAATCTAGTATTAAATTTGTGGTTGCAGCCTGTCACGTGGCTGATTTTATTTTTCTATATGTAGAATATTTCTCTACTTTAGAATCTATGTAGAGCAATATTACTTTGTGACAACATTGTATTCACCTCATTAGTGAGAGTTAGATCAAGTGAAGTATATTTTTATTGGTCTGTGATTCTAAAAGTGAATTGCAAGAGATAGAAATGTCATTTTATTTATTTGACAGAAACAAGAAACTCTACAATAACCAGAGGTCTACAAGTTGCCGTCTTAACTATGACACCACTAAATTTCAGATATCTATCTCAGTTTCCCAGATATATTTCCTGAGATATAGTTACAGAACAGCACCATTTCTTCCAGACCAAGAATTCTTTCTCTGCTCAGTATCAATGCAGCTAAAAATTATTGCATTGTTTACTGGAAAGCTTTTTATGGATATCTACCTAGAGCTTTGTTCTTTGAACTAGAAGAATCACAGAAAACAATAGAATAATCTATTTCCTAGATTAAGGGATTTATTTATTTTTTTTTAATCCACATATGAATGCTATACTTTGCTTTGTGACTGTAGTTTAATTTCTCACAAAAGATAAGAAAAATTTTTCAATGCGGTACGTAAAATCTGTGAAACCTTAGACTACACTGTTGCAGACAGAAATATATTGGTTAAAAAAAAATTGATTTACCTAAACATTATATGATACAAGATTGTAATTGAATCATTATGTATCTAATCAAACACAATGAAAGCAGAAAATAAGAGGAATTTCTTGGAAAGCAGAAGAAAACCTGTGCTGTATCATATTCATGCCTATTCTCTTATGTCATATGTGAACACATATTTCCTAAAATTATGTGTATGTTTAAACATTACACACACATACTGTTTATTTTAAAATACCCTATTGAACTGGAGAGTATATAAAAAAATAACCCTACTCTCAAAAACTTTGTCTATTCCCATTAATGTCTGATGTAGAAAAATATTGTTTAGACTCAGACAAAACTTTTAAGATTACCCCCACAATAGAAGCAAATTGTTTTCATACTTTAGAAGCTACTAGACGTATTGTAAGGACTGCTATGTCCATGATGTTTTAAAGCCATAGGTTATTTTATAATAAAATTCTATTAGATTGAAATTCCTGTTTCTAGAAGTGGCATAAAGTTTAATGGAGTTTAGTATCTGGTTAAACAGCTAAGGCCATAAACCTATTGTACATCATAACAGCAAGCTTAATGCTGAAGTGGGACTAGGAAAAATTCAAGGATTTTATTTTCTCCTTCTACTCCACACCATCTCTACCAAAGTCA